TCTTGAAATATTTCAATTATGTGTACAAGTCGCTTCAGAGGTTGCACCATCAATCGCGACTCTACCACCGCCTCCGGTGGCACCGCAGCTTAATATAGCCGTGGCTGTAAAAGGTGCTGAGCCAACTCGGCGGATCGACCTCAGTGATTACAAATTACGGAATAATGGTCAGAAATTGAAAATGGCTTAAAATCTTACAAAAATCATCGGATTTCAACTGATAACATTTCTATTTTTCCCATTAAATATTGTTCGATGTATACTGAACACCTATCTAAAACATCTCCCAAGACAAGATAAGCCATTATTGAAACCCTAGGACTTGTCTATATAAACACAGATTGATTAAAATAGCAAGCATTGATAAGCATGATTTAAATTTAAATTTTAAATTTTTGATTATTTTCGTAATTGTTTTACAGCAGCGCAGCAACAGCAGCAGCCGAGCAATTCACAAAATTCTGCAGCGCAAGCTCAACGAAGAAATTTCATGCGACCTGATGTACTACCACAGACCGTTGCTAAAGGACTGGATTTATCGCTTCCTCCAATTATTGCAAATGGCAAGTTTGATTGCATGCATCTCAAAATGTATTTTATAAACTTTACGATGTCAGTTTGGCTTTATGTTGAATAAATATATTTTGTCATTCAGTCAAAGAAAGGAATATATTTAAACTAACGCAAAATAGTTTTTTTCTTTTTTTGTGCATTTGTGTATGTATTTATTTATTTGTTCATTTATTTGTTCTCTATCGTTTCAGAAAAGCAATTAAATCAGAATAAACCCGATCCAGTTAAGCCAAATGAAGCCAAAGTTGTCCAAATGTCAAAATCTGGGACGCCAAAACCGACGACTTCGCAAAAACCAGCCATCACGAATGCTGTGAAACAGTTGCAACCTATGAGACAGCCAGCGGGGGCCATTGAACAAGAACGACATAAAAAGCCCAAACTAGATGATTACGATAAAGATTTGAAGCACAGAAGAATTGAGAAAACGAATGCAGAAGGTGAATTCAAACGAACTTTTGCGTAATGCCTTCCAAAAATTTGCAACTTTGGGACCCTGGTTGATTTTTGTCATAATAATTTGAGGTTGAAAGTTTTTTTAGGATCACATCAGACGTTTCTGATAACTGAACGTGTCGGGAGTGCAAAACGTAAACAGTGACGTGAAGAGTGGAAGTCGACAGGTTTCCTTGCTGTGAAATACTTCCAGAATTGATAGCTTAATGAATGATGATACTGCAAATTTAAATGCAAACATATATATAAATAAATGAAATTAAGATTGACGAGCTTCAAAATTGTCACTTTTCAGACTAATAGAGGAAAATTGATAACTTAAAATTTCAAATGCTAAAATTTGTCTGACATAGCATGCAAATTGTGCGACGGGAACGAAAAATGGAATAAATTCGTTTAATGCATAGATTGGATTTTAAATTGGGCAAGCCGAAAAACTTGGTGAATGAATTTCGTCAGATTTGCAGCTTATTTCAATTTATTTTCTTTATTTCAATTTTATTCCAGCTTATTTCTTATTTTAATTTTACTCATTTCAATTTTTTAAAAATATATTAACAGTTTTCGTATGTCAGAATCTCGTTGATTTTATGCATAAATTATTCTATCTAAAAATCTATCTAAAAATGCTTGACTGTGAAATATTTCAAAAAGCATAGTGCTGTATAATAAAATTAATGTTTAGCCTTTCATTATATTCAATAACAGAAATGAAAGTTCAACAAAAAATACATTTAAGCCTTCCGATGGTATGCGCAATGATTTGTTAATTAATTCAAAATATTGCAAAGCTTTCTTCCCAACCAAAATTTTTGATAATCATCATTGCACATAATTCTTTTTTTCTTTGATTTCGAAGTAATTTAATGTCAATTAGCTCACCACAAATGATATCTTTTAACAGGTTTGAAGAATGATATCTGTTCACATTTGCATGAGTTTAAAAAGGTCATCGTCAAAATCTGATCACTATCCAATCACGTTCCCATCAATA